TCATGTCTTACACTGTCCGAGTCTCCCCTCACCCACTTTTCTGTTGTCAGTTTCTCATTTTTCCCCTCCTTCCCAGCTCCCCCCTCCCACATGAGCCCTTGATAGTTTATAAATGGGTATTTTGTCATATCTTGCCCTGTCCGAAGGGGAGAGCTATTCTTGAGGAAACCCTTGTGTTTCTGTCTATGGTGGTGGGAAATGTGGCCATGGTTATGGGTGAGGGTTGCAGCACACGATTAACATAGTTGATGTCACTAAATGATATGCCTGAAAAATGCTGAGTTGGCAAATGTGATATATATATATATATATATATATATGTATATGTATCTATATCTATCTATATAGAGATAGATATTACAGCAACAAAAAAAGCCAGCTCTAGACTTTAGACTCCTTTTGGGTCTTATCCAGAGCAACAGGTTTCTGGTGCTGATTCACAGGGCAGACAAAGAACTGAAGGCGTCTGAGGTTCATGGAAGAGCCCAGAGGGGCACACTGGCTAAGTGCTCGAGGTTGGTGGTTTGAACCACCAGTGGCTCCGTGGGACTCTTGGGGCTGTTCCCGCGCTGCCTCTAAGGTTGTCGTGAGTCAGATCAAGTTGACGGCAGTGGATCTGGTTTATTTTAATGAGGCTTGTGGGCATTCTGGATCAGGACAAGGTGAATTTGCTTTTCCCTCGCCATATCTTTGAGTAACCCTGTGTGCTGGTGTGTGGACGGCTCTTGAAGCACATCCCTTGGACGTTTACTGCCTCTAAGAATTAGAGCCTGGCAACATGAACACTAAGAAGGGCTTCTCCTTCCACAGATGAGAGACGACAGGACAGGGGGCAGGAGTTCCTGGCTGGTGATGGGGATAAGCAAACCCACTTGACAGTAACTGTGGTCACTGGAAGGGTGGAGTTGCCTCGACTGTGAGAGAAATGCAGACAAGAACCCCAAAGCACAAGGAGCCCTGGTGGCATCGTGGGCTATGCATTAGGCTGCTAACTATAAGGTCAGCAGTTCGAAAACACCAACCATTCTGAGGAGAAAGATGAGGCTTTCTACCCCAGTAAAGAGTTACAAGCTCAGAAACCCACAGAGGCCGTTCTACCCTGTCCTGTAGGCTCATTCTGAGTCAGACTCAACTCGCTGCCAGTGAGTTAGGTTTGTTCAGTTTGGGGACAGGGATGATTCGATTTGACCTGAAGGAACAGGGGTTCAGGACTGAGAGATGGTTCTACTAGTTGAACGCAGAAGGACCACGGATGGCAGTGAGTGAGGAGGAAGGGGCAAGAACCCACGCCACCCCAACCAACCCACTGCCATCGTGTTGATTCTGACTCGTAGTGGGTCTCCAAGGTTAGAGATCTCTATGAGAGCAGCCTGAGCAACTGGCAACTGGTTCAAACCACTGACCTTCTGGTTAACAGCACAGCACTTAACATGCTGCATCACCAAGATCCTTGTAGAAGGGGTAGGAGAGGGGCAGAGAAAGCACAAGAGCAACAACGATGAAAGTTGAGAGAGAGGGGAGCGCGGGGGGGCCCATGTGCCAGGCTGCATGGATGTTGAGGGGTGCCCAGAGATGCGATGGGTGAGCTTCTGTCAAGGCAGGACCTCAGAGGACCTTTTATGTCTGCATGGGGTTTGAAATCTCCTAAAGGCAGTGGCGAACTGCCATGCTCCCTTGAAGTGTAAAAGGCTCAGATTGTGGCATTAAATGGGGAAGGAAGTGGGGAGCGATGGGGGTGGCAGGAGAACGTTCAGAAGGCGGCTGCCGAGAATGATGGTGACCCAGCAAGAGGAGGGGTCAGTGGGAGTCATAAATAAGGAACAGATGTGAGAGATAGTTAGGAAACAGAATTCACACTTTTTGGGTGAATGAGAGAAAGGAGCCCACAGCACAGAAACCAGTATCTCACTCTGTGCTGCTGTCACAGACTGAATTGTGTCTCTCAGGGGTCTGTATAAGCTGGTTAAGACAGGGCTCCCAATATTGAGTAGTTGTCACACCCTTGTTTAAATCACAGTTTTTATCTTCACTCAAAACTACCATTGCCATAGTCAATTCCTCACAGGGACCTTACAGGACAGAGTAGAACCGTCCCTGTGGATTTCTGAGACAGTCACACTTCGCAGGAGTAGAAAGCCCTATCTTTCTCCCTTGTAACTGCTGGTGGTTTTGAACTGCTGAACTGGCAGTTAGCAGCCCAACACCTAACACACAACACTATCATCAAAACAAAACAAAAAAACAAAATCCAAACTCCCTGCCACTGGGTCGTTCTGACTCACAGAGACCCAATAGGACAGGGTAGCAGTGCTCCTGTGTTTCTTAGACCTTTTACCGTGAGTAGAAAGTCTGGTTTTTCTTCCTGAGGATGGTTGGAGGTTTTGAACTGCTGACTTTGAGATTAGCAGCCCAATGGGTAACCACTACATCAGAAAAGCAAGCAGGGAGGGACTACCACCAAGAAAGACGAGTCAGGAGCGGAATGTGTCCTTTGCCCAGGGAGATCTTCAAAGGACCCCGCTCACAGACACTGAAGGGAGACAAGGACCTTCGCCCAGAGCTGGCAGAGAGAAAGCTTTCCCCTAGAGTTGGTGCTCTGAATTTGGACTTCGAACCTCCTACACCGCGACAGAATAAATAGCTGTTGGCTAATGCCACCCCCTTGAGCATTTCTGTGTAAGCTGCACCAGACAGCTCAGACAGTTGCCCTGGATCTCGCCTGAGGAGTAGTAAGATTTTTCCCTGCTTCCCCTTTTCAAGTGGCGGAGCAGCATTGGAAAGCACTGTTCATCACTGAAAAACCACCACCAATTTATGTTCCCAGCTTTGTCTCAGAAAGGATATTTTTCTAAATAAATAAATATATATATATATATATATATGTATATATATGAAAAGATACTTTTCTATTGTTGTGTTAAGTGTGTATGTATACTCAACTCGAACACAAATCCATCATCCATTCAATAAAGAGATAGCCATTCATTTGTTAATTGGGCCACCACCACGTCTCCTGGCCAGTGTCCAGATGGGAGTTTCCTGAGCACCCAGGTGATGGGGTGGAGCACAGCCTTCCCAAGGCATCGCTAAGACTGATCTCCAAGTAGAAGCTGGCGTCATCCTGGCTGTGGGAGGTGAGAACATCTATTTTGGACCCAACTGGAAAGTCCTGAAACACCAACTAGACCCTGACGCAGGGGAGAGCAAACCGTCTCTTTTCCTCGAGATAATACTTGTGATTTTAGTCTTCCAGGACCTGGAACCGCACTACAGCCATTCGATTTGGTCATCTTTTTGCACATTTTGTTTTCGTTCAAGGAATTCACCATCTATGTGTATATAAATGGCGGGCACTGAGAAGAGAAGGGAGCAGCTGCGAGGGACTGCCACACATGATTCTATGTGAAGGTGTGGCTTTGGGGCATCATGCCGGTGAAAAGAAGTGCTGCTGACGCTAGCTCATAAAGCCCTGCAGGACCAGCGGTGTGAGTGGCGAAACAGGGAGGGGAGAGGGAGAGTGGGTAGGAACGAGGGAACCGATTACAAGGAGCTATATGTGACCTCCTCCCTGGGGGACGGACAACAGAAAAGTGGGTGAAGGGAGACGTTGGACAGGGCAAGATATGACAAAATAACAATTTATAAACTATCAAGGGCTCATGGGGGAGGGGGGAGCGGGGAGGGAGGGGAAAAATGAGGACCTAATGCCGGAGGTTTAAGTGGAGAGAAAATGTTTTGAGAATGGTGATGGCAATGAATGTACAAATGTGCTTTACACAATTGATGTGTGTGTGGATTGTGATAAGAGTTGTATGAGCCCCTAATAAAATGATTAAAAAAAAAAAGACCAAAGACAAGCCGGGCACATGGTTTTCTGAAAGCAAGACTAAATGGGCGGGTTCTTGCCTGAACCCGAGGGTCCGTAAGGCTCTCTAAACTAGGTAGTGTCAGTACTGATCCTTAATTGAATTCTAGGTCTCTCCCCTCAATGTGTAACCTCTAAAACTCCAGGGTGCACATCCTGCGGACAGAGGACTCGTGGGTCTATTGCATTTCTATCTAAAAGCGTTTTCAGATGTTTGAGAAAAAAATATCACCTAGAGCTTTGTGGGGTTGCTTTGATAAATGAGATACAGAATGGCCAATGGAATTAAACTGAGTTTGAGTTCACTTCTCTGTATGCAAAACCCATCACTGAACTGCAAAGCTCCAATTCTGCAAAGGAACATCATACATTAATAATCTGTAGCAGGTGAAAACTGACCGCCCCCCACCCCTCTTCAGGAGCTTAGACTGGTCCCCTCTGGGCTGCCCA